ATACTTTTCTAAATATTTTAATTAATAATAATTTTTCACTGAATTTTTCTACTCTCTTAATAAAATATTATCGAAATATTAATGAAATTATAATGAAATTTTAATGAAATTGGGTCAAAATTGTGAATGCTTTTCAAACATATTTCAGCAAAAGTTCATTATATTTTCAATGAATTATTTCCATCAGATACAAATATCTCAATTGAGATCTTACATGCGAAATTTTGCGGAAACCTCAACTGAGAATTCAATTGAGAATTTAATTGAGAATTCAATTGGGAATTCAATTGTGATCTCAATAGAAATTTTTCAGTAGGGTAGGAATGTAACGCTTACTTCTCCTAGTGGCTGAATGAAAAATTAGCTAGTAGCTAGATACAAAAAAATAACTTGTAACTATATAGCCTGTACCAGACAGTGACTAGGTAGTAAAAACGAAACAATTATTTTTTTTTAATGATTTCTCTTTACTCTATGTCAGGAGTACCTTATAATCCTTAGACAGTGTTCTTTTATCTCAGAATTTTTATATCACGGATGTCTAAAATACAAAATAGCTAGATAGATTTTTCATCTATTTTCTCTCTCTCTCTCTCTCTCTCTGTCATTAGAAAAAAGTGATCCAATAAAGTTTGGTTTCCTGTAATTCTTCTTCATTACGTATTATTTCCATTCTATTGGAAAAATTCATTTTATCTTCCGGACTTGATCCTGAGACCTCTGGCTCTTGAGTCGGCCACTTTATCTGCTAAATCATTACTATAGTCGGTATAGTTTTGTATTAGCTACATATGGTTTACTCAATGCCATTTTATCTAATGACTAGACGAAAAAATTACACAGTGACAAGATAGAAGATTCAATAAATCCTGAATACAAATTAAATATTAAACGTTATCTAGTAACTGTCTAGTAGCAATATATCGTAAATCCAGAATGGAAATTAGATATCAAAACTGTCTATCCACTAGATAGTAAATTTGTGTATTACATCGTCATTATCTGTACACAAATGACTATCTAGTAGATAGACAGTTCTGATATCCAATTTCCATTCAGGATTTACAGTATATTGCTATTAGACAGTTCTAACGTCCAATTTCTATTCAGGATTTACCGATGATTTTCTATCTCGTTATTGTGTAATCTTTTTCGTCTAGCCACTGTTTATGTAATTGGTATAGTTACTAGACAGTTCTGATATCCAATTTTTATTCAGGAGTTACCGATGATTTTTTATCTCGTTACTGTGTAATCCTTTTCGTCTAGCCACTGTCTATGTAATTGGTGTAGATACTAGACAGTTCTGACATCCAATTTCTATTCAGGAATAACCGATACTTTTCTATCTCGTTATTATGTAATCTTTTTCATCTAGCCACTATCTATGCAATTGGTACAATTACTAGACAGTCCTGACACTCAAAAGACTGAGTAGAAATATTTAGCCAGTCACGAGCTCGTGACTGGCTAGAAAACTTATCTAATCATTCCTATCTAGCTACTAGTCTTAAAATCTGCTCTACTAGATACATTTTTGCTCAGGTGTGTGTGTGTATGTGTGATAAGATTCTTTTTTTTTTAATGCTCGAGTTATATATCGTCTGGATTTTTACTTATATATTTCCATAGCAAATAGTTTTTATGTTTCATCCTAAACATTATAGGTTTCATTATAAACATTATAACATTTTAATTATAGGAAAGGCGACAAAATGTTAATTTATAATAATGTATCAACAAACGATGCACCTTTGTTTTTTGGCGATTATGTCGCTCACGCACGACTAAACGCTCGAAAATATCCGGTGAAACACTGCTATTGGCTACCAGTTCTTATATTGGTCAAAAATAAGATTATATATACAATATGCATTTGGTTCGGACACCTGTTACCCGCTTTATTCATCGAAATCTTTCAAAAATGGACAGGTGCTCGGCAAAGGTATTCGAAGTTAGCGCCGCATTTACTGAAGTAACACTCACGTTAACGTTACTTCATCTCTTTCAGCATATGGAAATTGTACGGTATAATTCACGAGTACAACAACAAGGCCAATTACTTCTTGATGAACAATTGGACCCACGCCGATGACAACATTCAGGCGATGTGGCGAAGCATGAGCAAAAATGACCAGTTTTTATTCAACTTCAACATGAAAGATTTCGATTGGTCGAAATATTTGGAAGATCATTTCAAAGGTATGCGCCTTTACCTGCTTAAGGATAATTTGAGTACTTTGGAAGCCAGTCGTCTAAAATGGAAGAGGTGAGATATGTTTAATTTAATAATAGCATAAATAAATAAATAAGATTGAATATCAATAAAAGTGATATTTTTTAGAATGTATTAAATTCGTCACAAGGTTCTTTACAATATTATGAAAAAAATCGACGTTTAGAAAATCAGAGATATTTTTATAAAAAAATTTTTATCTCTAAAATATTGACTCTTTAGATTTCAGAAAACCTCCAATCTTTGATGATGCTTTCTTTATTACCTTCACTCCTTCTGATATAACCCTGAATATTTATTACCCTTTAATGCATCAAGCTAAGAAAAGTCAGGAAATGACAGTTTCCGGATAGTAACGTAAGAAAGTTGGCCGGAACTTAAATATGGCTTTGAGTGTCATTAGACTTCGCTAGTCGTTTTGGAGTTAATTCGAATTGAAATGTATGGAAGCATTGGCGATTGTTATGAAATATGAGTGTGTGATGTAAGAAAGCGTTCTTATTATACAGTTTTACGTTTACGCTTAAAATAATATGAATTTCAGATTGTACTGGATACATCAAGCGACAAAGACCGTACTTATGTTCGTCTGCTTTATGTTGGTCTGGAAGCTATTTACACAAATATTATTGTAATTTATTCTGTTTTTCTCTCTTCACGCGCAAATATCAATTAGGTATGACAAGCACACGTTATACAATTTCTGAGATATTTTATCTATAAATTTTATCATGTTTAATACTTTACTTATATAGTGTTTATGAAATTTACTATAAATATACGGCATTAAAAAAAAGAATTATATATATATATATTTATTTTTTTTAATTATAAGAACGTTTAAGTTATAAAATTATTGAAGAATTATATAAATAAAAATTTTTTTTTATATAAGATCCGATATTTAAGCCTGCTAAGTAAAATGCATTTATTTTTTCACAAAACTTTTCCATTATTTTTGTTTTTTATTTGTTCGTACACGTTTATTTTTTGCCGTTTTTTATATATGCCGAAATAAAAAAGGCTCAGGACTATCTAGGTTTCACTTGAACTGGAAATTGAGATAAAAAAAAATTATAATTTCGTTAGTTAGATAACGAATTAATTAATTATACTAAGATTTGATATATGAAATTCGTATAAATACGTAAGATCTCTTTTTTATCTCATTGTATTGTCACATCCTCGATACCTATTAGAAGAAAAGAAGAAATTGTAATAGGAAATACTTTCATTCTTTTAATATAACGTACGAATTAATCCTAAAGCTCGAATCAGATTAGTGATTGTCGATTGACAATTGGTGATTGACGATTAGTTTTTAATAGTTTTCAAATTAAAACGAAATAGCTACTGATCGTGTTGCTCTGATTGTTTAAACGCTAATTGGTGTCAATCGCCAATTGTCAATCGGCAATCGCTAGTCTGATTCGAGCCTGAAGTTTAGTAAATCGTGAAAATAAGTTAGTAAGTTATGAAATTGCTCTATTAAGGGGACTGGAGGGTCAGATTGCCTGAAAATGTGTTTGTTCTTTCACAATTTTTTATAACAAACTGAATGAATATACGAAAGTATTATTTTGACGTATATTTATATAATATATAAAGAGAAGAAAAATATAAAATTTTGGTGATCAAATACTCAATATAAGTGTGTGGTACATACAGTTAAAATATATTTTATTTTTCTTTTCAAGGTCGTCATTTTCCAATAATATTTTGACTCTCTTCAATTAAGCTTTTCTGGTTCAATTAAGTTGAATTTTAGATAGAAAATTTACGTAAGCTTGTCGTTATCGTGTGAACGTATAATAGAAATTGAGTTAACAAAAGTTAACAAAATTTCAAATATCTCAATGGAATATTATTAAGTTTTCTTTTATGGAATTTTAAGTTTTCTTTTTATGGAATTTATTAAGTTTTCCGTTCTTTCATAGTAAAAAAAAATTAATATTTCAAAATTAAATATTTTCACGAGTTTATTAATGGTACACACGATAATGACAAGCTTACGGAAATTTTCTACCTAAAATTCAGCTTAATTGAACTACCAAGAGTCAAGACATTACTGCAAAATGACGACCTTAAAAACAAAAACTAAATATATTTTAGCATGTATTTATTGGGAGTTCATTAATTTTAAGGGACTTTTTGGTAAAAATACGGCTTTATTGTGAAAAAATGGTTACAAATTGATCATTCAAAATATTGTCCATCGCTAGCTACTACTTTTTCCCATCTTTCTGGTAATTTCACGTCGAAAGAACGACATATCTATTGAGGCTGTCCACGAATCGACCCATTTTTTGGTATCCTTATGAATGGAAGCGCTGCTCAGACAGGCCATGAGTCATCGATCGAAATAGGTAATCGGAAGGAGCAATATCTGGGGAATACGGCGGGTGTGGTAGGACATTCCAGTTAAGCGCTTCTAACGCTTCCTTGACCGGTTTCGCAATATGTGGCCGAGCATTATCGTGCTGGAAAATCATTTTGTCATGACTTTTCGCGTAATCTGACCGTTTTTGCTTCAATGCTCGGCTCAATTGCATCAATTGTTGTTGGTAGCGTTCCCCAGTGATGGTTTCGTTGGGTTGGAGCAGCTCATAATACACTACACCCAGCTAATCCCACCAAATACAGAGCATGAGCTTGGCGCCATAAATATTCGGCTTTGCCGTCGATGTTGATGGTTCGCCTGGCCTGCACCATGATTTTTTGCGCTTCGGATTATCGTAACGCATCCATTTTTCATCATCTGTCACGATACGATGCAAAAAACTTTTTTTTCTGTGTCTTTGAAACAACAATTCACAGGTCATTTTACGCTTTTCGACGTCTCTCGGCTTCAACTCGTACGGCACCCAATTTCCTTGCTTTTGAATCATTCTAATAGCCTTCAAACGTCTGGAAATCGTTGATCGATCAACATTTAATGATTCTGCAAGTTCTTCTTACGTTTGACTCGGGTCAAGTAAAGCTTCCACTTCCTCATCTTCAATCTTTTTCGACTGGCCTGGACGTTCCTTGTCTTTCGTGTCAAAATCACCTTTTTTATAGCGTCAAAACCAGTACTCACATGTTGAAATCGATGGAGTATAATCACCATAAGCTTCCGACAGCATTCGTTCCCTTATAGAAATATCATACTAAGAATCATTGATAATTACTTATTTTCAGTATTAAAAATACTGGATAATAAATAATTATCAATGATTCTTAGTATGATATTTCTATAAGGGTTGACTATCAGCAGCACTTTTCTTCAAATGGAAGCAAAAAAGCAAAGCTTCTCGCAAATTGCGTTTTGTTGGCACAAAATTCGACATATTCAATGCTCAAAAAAACATGTTGTTTGCACTTCGGCAAAATGACACATACTGAAAACTAAAGCCACATGATGGTGCTTTGACATGAAGGTAGCAACAATATGCGATATAGTACTAGTTACGCCATCTCTTGAAAATCCTTTAAAATTAATGCACACTCCCAATATATTATACACTTATATTAAGTATTTGATCATCAAAATTATATTTTTCTTCTCTTTATATGTTGCATTAATACACGTCAAAATAACACTTCCGCATATTCATTCAGTTTGTCATAAAAAATTGTGAAAGAACAAGCACGATTTTCAGGCAATCTGACCCCTTAATGATTTTTTACTGACTGCGTTGCTGTTCTGTACGATTCGAAGTGTCGTACTGAATTCGCCAAAGACCGATGTACGGCCGATCCTTAGGTGCTATGGCTCGTGTGAAAGCTCGCCATAGTAAGGCAGATGATCGGGCTTCAGGAGTCCGCGACCAGCAACCGCGATAGTCGTTCCCGCGTCTTGCATCTGGAGGCTACAGGTGTCAGCGATTGCCTCGGAGTGGGTTTTGATCGAGTAAAGCTTCCACTTCCTCATCTTCAATCTTTTTCGACTGGCCTGGACGTTCCTTGTCTTTTGTGTCAAAACCACCTTTCTTATAGCCGAAACCAGTACTCACATGTTGAAATCGACGGAGTATAATCACCATAAACTTCCGACAGCATTCGTTGACTATCAGCAGCACTTTTCTTCAAATGGAAGCAAAAAAGCAAAGCTTCTCGCAAATTGCGTTTTGTTGGCATAAAATTCGACATATTCAATGCTCAAAAAAACATGTTGTTTACACTTCGGCAAAATGACACATTGCGTCTGGCATTACCTTACTCATCTCACAAAGATACTTATCAGCAAAATTCTACTGCAGCAGGAGTAAGTGGGCGTGTATGCCGCCTCGAAGCCTTCGCATGGTCTGACAACTAAATGTGGTAGCCTCGTTCTCTCACAAGTTGTCACCCTTGCGCCAGAAGATTGTTTTTTGGAAAAAAATCTCGTGAAGCTTCGAGACAAACCCCCCGCCTGGTAGATTGAATTGTAAAACTTAGGGCTACTAATCAGAATGCATATTTTATATGTGCATGTTTAATCATTATACGTGTTCATCTGACGCGATTATTAATTTATTGCGGTTATTGATTACTTGCGATTATTGATTACTTGCGGTTATTGATTATTGATTTATTGCGCTTTTTCGCACTGAAGATTTATGAGATAACATCCATTTTTTAGTAAAAGCACGTAAGACATATAAGAAAAGTTATATAAAATTTACTATCATCGAACGTACAAGGAGAAAAATAATTTTGCTCTTTTAGCAAAGTCATCGTTGCTATTGCATATGACATCAAAAAAATTTAGGTGACGTAACTAATTTTACAAATTATTTGTTATCAGAGCAGAAGTAGTATCGTTGCCAGAATAGAAAAAATTTGTTGAGCGTACTTGTCCTACGAATCACGTTAATTTGCTATTGATACAAAATAATATATCCTTAACAAATTTATTCCTTAGCTTATTTATTTATTTTAGCTTATTTTTCACCGTGTGGGCTTCTTTACCCTGCGCTATTAAGACCATTCTACATTAGTTACACGCAACCAATCGCATGATCGCAAGCAGCACTATTTCCGGTTGTAAGTTAGTCGAAAGTAACAATTGCAAGGTTTGCCAAAGTCTAAAGTTTGCGCCTCTATGATGTTGCGACAACCAATCAGTGTCGAGCCTCGCACATATAGGTTTATACAGTCAACTTTACCTGTTCTTCTGTTCTTGTTTGTTTACTTCCATATTTAAACGTAGGCTCTGCATGTTCATCATGACGTCGGTTCCTTTTTCCTGTGACAGAGTCTTGTGGATGTCAATGAAACATTCTCGTCACTTATTGGCTGTAACATGCGACTAACGATTGAAATCTAGAAGCTAGAATAGCAAGAGTTTTGCGCTTTCCGACAATGCGATGCTTGCTTGAAAACTTGCTTTAATTAAGATACTCAGATTTGAATTTCGAATCAGATGTGGTTGAGTCGCGGTTACAAATATAATGTCGTGTGCATCATATGATGTAATTGGAAACTTCAGATCTAACCATGAGTAAACGCTAATCGCGATCCAATCGGCAATCGCTGGCTGTGATTTGGCTTTCATCAGCGCGACACTTTTTCAGCCGACGTTGCGATCATGGCAGCTATATAGGGTGCGGCGCCAAAATCCGGACAAAATTCAATTTGAAATTCTCGCCGTTCTATACTACTGGTAGATGTCGCGATTAGCGTTCAAATAGCTTGTACTAAACCATCATAACTTCGAAACAGTCGCAATGTTGAAACCAAGTGCGGAGTATAACCAAAGAGCGCGATTATCGAAAGTGTTCGCGCTGGGCGCTCGGCGACAGAAATCATTCGGTTCTTCGGGTACCCGAGATCGACTGTGTATGATCATCGCAAAGTATAATGAGTCGAAGAAGTCCAACGAAGGTTTTGCAACATCGGCGAGGAAAACCCACTCGAAGGAGCGCGTTGTCAAGACGCCCGACATTATTCAACGGGCTCAGGAACTGATTTTTGAGGATCCAGGGCAGTCGATCCGAAAATTGTCGTCGGTTGTTGGTGTGAGCGAGAAAACTACACTGAGAGAAGAATTTAGTAAATATTATCAAAATTTTGTTACTATTACTAAATGGTAGACGTAAATATAGCGGGCCAAAGATATGGCAATACTTATTAATTAATTTAGTTTTGTAAAATAAATTATTTATTTGACAGAAGTAAAATTTATTTGCTTCCAGAATATATTTGGTAAATAAAACTTATTAGTTGAGCAAAATAAGCGATTTTGTAGTAGTTACAAAATTTTTGGTAGGTTCAACCAACCATCTGTAATAATAGATATTGAAACGATGTAATAGTTGCAAATGAATGAATTTTTCGTTGTGCTGCAACAAAATATACTTATACTTTTAACAAAATAGAACTCGTACCTACTGAATTTTTTATTACATGGGATATAACAATTTCATAACAATTATCAAATATTTGCTCATAACTGTAATATATTTCATATTAAATATTTAACATTAAGTAACTATTACTAAATTATTTAATTGACGTTACTGTGAATGCAATTACGTCAAACTCCCGATCTATTAAATATTTGGTAATTATTATCATATTTAGTATTAGTTACTAAGGATTCAATGAATTTCTGTAACTAAATGCAGTTTGTTATAGTTACCAGTGTATGCGTCGAATCGTCGAAGAGGACCTCCGCTACAAGTCTTACACAATTAAAGTGAGACAGATGCTTTCCGAAGCCGCCAAGACAAAGCGAGTTGAACGCTGCAACCTGCTTTTGTGTTCCTTAACAGTCCAGATTTGAATCCTTTGGACTTCTATGTATGCGTAGTTGAAAGGGTCACGAACAAATCCAGACATCCAAACGTCGCATCATTAAGAGCCGCTATTGAAGCGACATTCACCGATATGGACCGTGACACATTAAAGCGCGCCTGTGCACGCTTCAGACCGAGAATGGAGGCGGTCATTCAAGCAAGCGGGGGATATATTGAGTAAATGTGTTCTTTACAGTCTTACAAACAATGTGGTTAAAAAAATTTTGTAAACCTTTTCGTTTTTGCAATAAAAAATATGTTTGGAAAAAATGTATAATTTGTCCGGATTTTGGCGCCACACCCTATATATGTGCACGCACGCACAGATGTACAGACACGCATATGTTGTACACGGACGTGATAGCGAGACAGCACTTTCACTAACGAGCGATTACACTGTTAAATATTGGAGGGTCAAATTTAAACCAATTTCTTGAGTTAAATAATATTTAGTTATTGTTAACTATCATGTGTGTCAAAATTTACTATTTTAACACAAAACATGTGTTTAAAAAAACAACCACATCTAATCAACCCATTTAAAACAATATTAAGTCATTTTTTTACTAAAACAAAGGTTACATTAACGTGCACATAATAAAAAATAAACTAAATTTTAGTCAAATTTAATATATTTCTTAAGTTAAATTATTTAACTCCATTACATTAGTTAAATTAACGACATATTTAGTAGGAACAGTGGCGACTTATAGGAATGGTTAAAAATAACTCAAATTGAGTATAATTTGACACTACGGATTTAACAGTGTAGATGCTTGCAACTAATGTAGAACGACCTTTAAGCAACTGAACCCGGTACCAGAGCAAAATAGCTCTGTTTCTGTATGTTCGTATTTTGGTTATTACGAAACAGAATACGATTAACAAGATCATTGCGGGCATTAATACATAGAAGAAAGTTGCCTCTATCATGTTTGTACAGTCAGTCGCAACAATTTGTTGCTTGAGAAGTTGTAACTTCGAAATTCTAAAATATAGAACATCTAACTCCGATCTCCCTTACGGCTAAAGAGTTACTTCTCATAACTGAATGAATATTTTTAATCTTCTACACAAAATATTGAATTAAAGTCATATTGTTCTTTTCGAATTAAAGTCATATTGTTCTTTTCGATCATAATACAATTAATACGTGACATTTTTTTTCCGCTATCTATTATTGCTAAAAAAGTGTGACTCAAAAAAGCAACTTCAATATGTAATAAGAAAAGCTGTTTTTTCATTTTAGTAACGTGATATGATAAATTGAGCTGATCAAAGAGTAAAATTCGAATTTCAAGAAGCGAGATCATCACGTAAAGAGTACATGATGATATCATTCGATTGATTTATCATTTTGATTAGGAACTTCTTAACGTCCACATGCATCTATTTTCTCAATGAAGTATAGAAAAAGATGAAATCATATAAAGAAAAGATGGAATATCATATGAGGACACGTGCATCTATCTCCTCCAAAAAAGATCGATATTTCGTTGACAATAGTAGGAGGGGTAAGATTGACTCTAAAATATATAAAATTCATCGTAAAATCTTCCACTCGTTTACCGAAAACAGATCAGAAACGAACGTATTCTGAATACGAGCCGGTGCTGCTAAAGCAGGTGCATTGTCGACGGTGAGATCACTCTACCATTGTATTTTTACGTCCCCGAAAGATATTGGAAGAAAAAAGCAAATTGGAAAAACTAACAGTAAGATTTGAAGAGGCAAATAAGGAGCAAGCACGGATGTCTTAGTGCTATTAAATACTAATATTACTTTTATATAATATTAATATGATAGTAGGAGGATAATTATGTCCAGCATGTCAAAAGCTCGTATCGAAATTTTTCTTCGATTAACGTTCTCTCAACTTACACCTTAGAGAATTTATAAACATTGTGTTGCGAGATTACTGTCGAAGCCTCGGTGGCCGAATAGAAAGGCGTCCCGCCCGGAAGGAGGTTCCAGGTTCGAGTCCTGGCGGAGGCAGTTTTTTCGCAACATATACAGGGTGTCCCGCGTAAGACGGACCAAAAGAAAAATATAAGTAGAACACATTAAAGTGAACAAAAATTATATAGGTCATTTTTCAAACAACCACGTAAAATTTCGAGATATTAATTAAAATAGTTGAGCATATCAGAGCGCGTCGACACGGCAGACGGGACATACGGCTCGCAGCGGCCGCCGAAGAAAATGGATGATTGCTCCGCGAGCCTATCTTGGCTGCGTTTCGAAATTCACTGCCAGTACTGAAATTCTATAGTATATGTGACATGAACTATAGATTTTCAGTACTGGAAGTGAATTTCGGAACGCAGCCCTTATAGGCCAGAGAGGGTGACCCGTTTGGCATACTGAAATGAGTAGCTCCGTGTGTGCGTCCGTGTACGTGTGCGTTCTTCCATTTTCTTCGCCGACCGCTGCGAGCCGTATGTCTTGCCTGTCGCATCGCGCGTTCTAATTTATCCAACTATTTTAATTAATATCTCGAAATTTTACGTGGTTGTTTGAAAAATGACCTATACAATTTTTGTTCACTTTTATGTGTTCTATTTAAATTTTTCTTTTGGTCCGTCGGGACACCCTGTATAATGAATCTATTTGAGTCATCGGTTTAATGGGTTTTGGGAATTTTAAATATATATATAAAATTGGGACTCAAGGATTGGTCTAAGCATGAAAGGTAGATTCGCCGCGTACGTTAATCGAAGAAAAATTTCGATACGTGCGTTTGACATGCTGGACATAATTATCCTCCCACTATCATATTAATATTATATAAAAGTAATATTAGTATTTAATAGCACTAAGACATCCGTGCTTGCTCCTTATTTGCCTCTTCAAATCTTACTGTTAGTTATTCTAAAAAGGAGCTTTCTATAATTTCTGTTTAAATTGGAAAAACTTTCCACACAACATATAAGTCTCAAAGATGTTCAAAGGATATCTAAAAAAAAGACAAAGTAAGACATCTTTAAGACATTTTGAGACATGCATATCATATGGATTGATTCTTCTGATATAATTCGCTTTTAGCAAAATCGTCGTTTCTACTATTTCATATTCGTAATTACATCAAAAAAATTTAGTTGACATAACTAATTTTACAACTTATTTGTTATCAGAGTAGAAATAGTTTCGATGCCAAAATAGAAAAAATTTGTTGAGTGTATTTGTCCTAAGAATCTAGTTAATTTGCTATTGATGCAAAATAATGTATCCTTAGAAAATTTATTTGCTATCGAAGCAAAACTGTAACTGCTTGTATAAATCCATCATTGTTCTTATATCAAAATAATTTGTAGATTCAACAAATTATATCCAGCAAATAGTGATTAGTACTCCTGGCAAATCTTTTTACTGTCCATATAATAACAAAAAGATTTTGCTAGACTAACAGAAAATTTGCTGGGCCAGCAAATTATTTTTCTCCGTGTAGCAAGCACTGTTACTGTATAAAGATCAATACATTTGGACTCACACGAAATATGCCGGCTGAATTCCATACACTTCTGCGCTGCTATTGATAAATAATAACTCTTTTGTTTTATTTTTGCATTTTTTATTTGATTTTACAGTTTGACAAGTATAGTAACAGCTTAATCGCGTTCGGTCATGGAAACCAGAGGATGCATGAACATTCCGGATCAAACTACTTCTAACGTCGACAATATCGTCAGTATATTTTTTCTAATATTTTCCTTTTCCGTCTCTCGATACGTATGAGACGATGCGTGCTATAAATATATGTTACGATATGTGTTAGGTTATAAACATACCTAAAAATTAAATAGTCAAAGATCTATTGTAACGATCATTAACAATTATGTCAAGCGAAATTTTAGTGTTTTTATTTCCTCTCCCCCTTTTGTCACATTTCGCCATAAAGTATTTAAACCCTTTTCCAATATTACGTGTCGTGTGGAATTATCCTGCTCTCTCTTAAAATTCAAGTAATTTTAAGACATAAAATATCAAGTTATTTATTTTATAATTTTGATTAATTGTATGTGTTTTTATAAGAAGAAAATATTCAAAAACTAATATTTTGATTATTAACATAAAACTGAATCTAAGAAAGTATTTAAGGCTTAAAGTGACATTCCATGACCTTTACTACTTCCCTTTTGTTGCCATCGCGCAAGCTAATAGACCATCCCCCCTCGTGGTGTAACGTAATGTTCAAAAAAATGACCCCATATACATAGCTGTTATCTATATTAGTTTTGATTTCACATTTTCCTAAGATGTTTGCTTCCATATGAATTTTAGACACAAAAGGTCACAAAACCTGTCTGGCAATCACCACCAATTGACAATAAATACAATCCAATCGCGTACAAAAATATCAAGCTGAATTTGAATGCTTCGAATATCAAGAAGAATGTCAAAATCGATTCTGCACCGAAAACGCCGGTGCAGGAGTTTTACTCAGGGCAATCGATCTTCATTACAGGTACGCACTGTTTGCACATAATGCAGCAACTAATGTTCAGACTAGAGACGTGCGAATCAAAGATTGTTTATGTCGAATCGAATCGAATCTCAGATTTTAATTTCGAGTTCGAATCGAATAAAATTTCACCTCGAATCATTGAAAGTATTTTTAATTAATCATTGAATTCAACATGAAAATAATGACTTCAGTATGAGAGAGATAACATTGATCATGTGATATCAATTTATTTTAAGGTAAGAGATATATAATATGTAGTCTGCAAACGTGTATAGAATGCAGTTCTAGATTTGAAAGCTATGCAACAACACATATTGATCCGACAGTTGTCGGTAAGAGTTTATCTAAAAGCCATTATGTTCTTTCAATATTTTTCTCCCTGTCTCTCCCTGTCTCTCCTGTCTCTCCTCGTCTCTCCTCGTCTCTCCCCGTCTCTCCCCGTCTCTCCCTGTCTCTCCCTGTCTCTCTCTATAATTATTAATTAATTAAAGTATATTTTAATTTTATTTAATTTTTATTTAATTTTTAATTTACATTTTATATTAGCTATATAGCGCGCGCATGTATTCTTCTAGTCTATAGTGAACTTTTCAAGTCATGCTAATTCCTGTAAGGCTGGATGTCTTTAATAGTTCTTTGTTAATGCTAATGTGCGCGATCCGTATTTGAATCTTTTCGATTCGAAATTTTCGAATTATTCGGATTCGAATCATAGGAATTCGAATTTGAGTCAAATCGAATTTCACTTGATTCGATTCGATTCGAATAGTTCGCACATCTCTAATTCAGAACTTCTCTTATACAGAGAAAGAACTTATATTTCAAGAAAACGATAAAAAAATGTTTCATGGCACAATTACACGCATTCTAAATTACACCGTGTTAAAGGTGGCACCGGCTTCTTAGGGAAGATATTAATTCAAAAATTACTGCGAACCTGCCCCGATATCGCTACCATTTATCTGCTGGTACGTCAGAAGGGCAACCACAATGTTGAAAGTCGACTGGATAACATGTTTCAGATGCCGGTGAGCACAAAATAATACTGTCAAGAACCGTCACGGAATTATTATTCCCGTCTACGCTACCTTTTTTAAATATCCTAGAGTAAAATCCCGCTCGAAATAAGATGGAAGAATTCGCTCTATATGAGTGAAAAGTCAGATCTATTTTCTAAGTGGAATTTTCCTCGAAGAAATTTAAGTTATACGCATTCAATTATAACTTTGAGATTATTATAATAATTACTACAACTTTAATTATTATATTGCTGTCATAATTATTAACCGTATCATTAACATCATTTATCGAACGATAACTATTATTGACATACTACCATATCGATTCTTTATAGATCTTCGACCGACTAAAGGAAGAAGTGCCGAACTTCCGCAACAAAATCGTGCCAGTAGAAGCAGACTTCAGTGTCGACGGTTTAGGACTTTCTTACAACGAGGAGAATTTTCTCATGCAGGATGTAAGTGATTCGTTATATTCTGGCGAGTTATCGACGACCACGGCGTCAGGATCTTTGTTTCGGAATCAATTTCATGATGATTCTTTCTTGCAGGTATCTGTCGTTTTTCATATGGCCGCCTCAGTACATTTCAAGCAAACAATCAAGAACGCTACGATGATCAACATCAACGTCACCCGTTATCTGTTGGATATAGCTAAAAATATGAAGAAATTGAAGGTATAGTGTTAATACGTTCTGAAGAATAATTAAAACAGCGAGACAATATTAATATATTCGCGACCAGCGATGCAACACACAAAATATATTGTGTTACCCCAGCGACCGCGAATAAGTGTCAACCAGTGGCGTCACAATATCATCTCTCTCAACTCTTTCAACTCTCTCTCAACTCTCTCTCTCTCTCTCTCTCTCTCTCTCTCTCTCTCTCTCTCTTCCTCACTC